TTCCTCCGCCGGGCTCGCCCGTCCTCCTGCAGGGGAAAAGGGGGAGGAGGAGAGGCGGGTCAGGGCTTCGTCCCTTCCCCGGAGGGGAGTCCCAGGCCCGCCCGGGGAGGAAGGCCGAAGCCTCGGCCTCTCAGTGGGACTTTCCAGGCAGGCCTCCCTCCCAGCGCCCGTCCCGCCAGACCAGGCCTCGCCTCCCCCCCCCTCCCTCCGCCAGAGAGCCTCTCGGACTGCCACTCCCAGCATCCCTTGCGCCCCACCTGGATCCGAGCCCGTCCGCGGCAGAGTCAATTAGGCGCCTCAGTTCCGCTTGATCCCGGAAGTGGAGGCGGGACTTCGCTGCGCGACCTTTTCCTGGATGCTCTTCCTCTTTCGCTCGAAGGGACCGCCCCTAGGAGTCCTCCTGCCAATCGCCGCCATCGCCAGAGCGACCAATCGGCGTCCTCGTTCCCTCGTCAGCCAGGTGGTGCCTGCGCAGTAACGAATGTTGTCTCCGTCCGGCGAGGGGGGGGACAAGGGGCCCTTTGACCTTTGGGGTCCCGTCTTTCCTCCCGCCCCGCATCCAGGCAGGCGGAGCTGAGGGACTTCCGGGGCTGCGTCTCCGCCCCTCCCTCCCCCCCACGATACTGGGGTCTCTCCTTAGTCGGGGGGGGTGTCTTCCTCCCCTCCCCCTCCCGGGGGCTCCGGCCAGCCCCCCCCCGCTTCCCCCAGGCAGCCCCTCCCGCGTCTCAGGGCCGATCCCGCCTTTCTTTGCCCCCCCTCCTCTCCTCTGTGGCCCCCCCGGAGCCCCTCCTCGAAATTGGGGGGGAAAGGGGGGGCGATGGGGTCCCAGGCCGGGCTGGATTTGAAGGATTTCTGTTCCAATCTTTTCTGTTTGGAAACGTTTTTCTCCCCCCCCCCGTTCTGCCCAGCCAGAGAGGGAGGAGGGAGGGGGGGAGAGGAGACCCTTCCCAGCCTCTCTCGGGGGGCTTCGGACTGGGGGAGATTGGGGGAGCCCTGTAACGTCTAAGGCTGCTCCCCCTTTTTAGGCCTTGCCTTGAGAGGAGAGGGTGGCAGGTGTGCCTCTTCCTCCATCCGGCCTCTTCCATCGCAGGCCGGAGAGATTGGAGAGATGGAGGTTTCTGCGCAGGATCTGGGCCCTTCCTGGCCCCGCCTTCCTCTGGGGAGAGGGAGCTCGGAGTCGGTTCCTGGGGTCCCATGGAGCCCCTCGGCCAGCTTGGGACCCCCAGCCCTGAGTGATGGCACTCGGACTACTTACAACTACAATTGAGGCCAACATTTATCTTTTTAAGTGAGAAATTTGTGAGTTTTGCCCCATTGTACGACTTTTCCTGCCACATTTGTTAAGTGAATCACTGAAGTTGTTAAATTACTAACATGGTTGTCAAGCGAATCTGGCTTCCCCATTGACTTTGCTTGTAAATCACACGACCATAGGGATGCTGCAATGGTCATAAGTATAAAAAATGGTCATAAGTCACTTCTTTCAGTGCCGTTGTAACTTCAAACGGTCACTAAATGAACTCTTGTAACTCGAGGACTGCCTGTACTTCCACATAAAGTAAAATCAATCTTACTTTTGCAATATTTTTATGCTTTTTCATAACCACACTGTCTTCCACTATTAGAAAGCAGTTGAGTATCTCCAGGGCAGAAGATTCTTCAGTGGGGTGAGATGCTTCAGTTTGGATTCAGCAGTTCCCACGTTTATCTCCTGAATTTGCAAGACTTTAGCAGACCGAATATAACTTTAGGGTGAACCAAAACTACAATGGTGTCATTTTCTTTCCTTGAAAAGCCAGACCGTGTCCACGAGGGGGAAGTTTGGGGACTGAGTTGAAATGCTGGCTGGGAACAGTTATGACCATTGAGCAGTTTTTCTACCCAATTGGGCTAGTTTTGGAGATTAGTTGCAGGATAATTTGACCTTAGTGGGTTCCAGTTTGGGGGCTATTATGGGCTATTTTTAAAGGGCTGTAGAGAGAGTCCTTGACTTACCACATTTGTTTAGTGATGGAAGTTACAGCAGCTCTGAAAAAAGTGATATATGATCAGTTTGCACAATTCTGAGCGTTGCAGATCCCCATGGTCAAGTGACCCAAATTCAGGCAACTGGCGTGGATTCCTGACAGTCGCACAGTGCCAGGCTCACGTGTTCACCCTTCTAACCTCCGCAGCTGGCGTCTGACAAGCAAAGTCAACAGAGGAAGCCAGATTCACTTAACAACGCTGTGATTCACTTAGCAGCTGCACTAATTGGCTTAACAACTGAGGGAGATGACTGACAACAGTGGCTAAAAAGGTAGTAAAATGGAGTGAAACTCACTTAACAACGGTCAGCAACAGAAACGTTTGGCTCATTTGTGGTCATAGGTGTACAGTTTGGGGTCATTATATCAATCTGTCATGAACAATAACTGCAAAATACATCACGGTAGCAAACAGGGTTGGGTCAGTCAGCCCCCTCCCCTCTAGCTGCATCACCAGCCCCTCCCTCCCCAGATCCAGCTTCTCCCAAGGCCCCCATTGCAAAACTACAGCTGAGAGGGAGAATCCCCTCCAGCGCTTCTCCCCTTAATACTTGGATTGTTCAACCTGAGACATAGCCCTCCAACCCTGGACTGGCTCCTGTCTCATTTCCTCTTCTTCCTGCAGCTGACTGGCAAAACAATGCACCTGTTTATCTACCAGCACATTTGCAAGGTAACTCGTCCCCCCTCCACTTACCTGTCCACTTCCATGGGCATCTGTAATCGCCCACCTGCTGAGACTTTGGGAAAAGTGCCAAGAAGAGCAACTAAGATGGTTAAAGTATGAAGAACGGTTGCAGGATTTGGGTTTGGAGTCTAGAGAAAAGGAGGACTAGGGGTGATATGATAGCCGTATTCCAGTATTTCAGAGGCTGCCACAAAGAGGAGGGGGTCAGTTTATTTTCCCAAGATACAACAATAGTAGCCCTTATTCAAGATGACAATGAGGTGCTTACCCCAAGGAGGTTGACAATTTGGTGAACTAGTGTAAGAAAAACAGCCTAATTTAACCACTGGAAAAACCAAAGAGATCATTGTCGATTTCAGGAATGGCAGGCACAGCCACACTTCTCTGTGCATTAATGATTCACCTGTGAAGATGGTTACCAGCATCAAACGAGTAGACTAGCCTGGTCGCTCAAAAGTGAGACCCTGGTGAAGCGGGCACAGAAGCGCCTGAATTTTCTGTGGTCACATGAGAAAAGCACATCTTCCTTCCCCTGTCCTGACCACTTTCTACAGGGGGACGATTGAGAGCAACCTGTTGTACAGCATCACAGTCTGGTTTGGAAGCATCACTGCTTCAGACAGGAAGGCGGTGCAGGGAGTGGTGAAGATGGCAGAATAGATTGACAGTTCACTCCCTTCTATCCAGGACACGGCACGTAAGCGTTGCTTGAGCAGGGTCCGTAGGATTGTCTGGGACGCCACACGTCCTCTCCACAACTGGTTTCCTTGTTACCTTCTGGGAGGAGGGGGCTTCGTGGTGTCCGAAGCAGAACATCAGATTCAGTCAGTTTTGTTCCATATAATATGAACCTTGTGAACTCTAAAGCTTCCTCTTTCCGTTATGCATTCAAGATGGACAGTGATTAATATTTGTATGTTATTTATATGTAAGGGTGCAGGTTTATACATATGCTGTATATAGCATGTTTAAATTTGTGTTATGTATGTGTACACTTTGAGAGCAGGTGTATCATTGTGCTCACAGTGTTGGTTATGTGAATGAACCAATTATTCTGCCTGTTCATTTTCAGGTTTGTATCCTGTGTTTCCCTCAATGTAAGAGACGACCAGGCTGGGCCCGAGGGTGGGGTAAAATGCCTCATTAGTTTGGAGTCTCTACACCTCCATAAGAGACCTAAGTCCAGCCCCCCTCCCCCCTTGAAGTCTATTGGCGCCAATTCACCTTGACCATTTAGGCAGGAAAAAAAAATGAAATACAGATTAGGGGGGACCCGACTTAAAAACAGTAACTGTGAGAGGGACCTTGGAGTCGTAGTGAACGATCACTTCACCATGAGCCAGCAGTGTGCAGCAGCAGCCAAAAAAGCTAATACAATCCTGGGTTACATAAACAGGCATAGAATCAAGATTACGGGAAGTATTACTACTGCTTTATAAAACCTTAGTGAGACCACACCTGGAATACTGCAACCAATTTTGGTCTTCATCCTACAAAAAAGATGTTGAGACCTTGGAAAAAGTTCAGAGAAGAGCAATTAAAATGATCAAAAGCCTGGAGACTAAAACATACGAAAAACGGCTGCAGGACTTGGGTTTGCCCAGTCTAAAGAAAAGAACAAATAGGGGTGACATGATAGGAGTGTTCCAATATTTGAGGCTGCCAGAAAGAAGAGGGGGCCACATTATTCACCAAAGCACCAGAGG